ACCTGTGATCCCTGTGATCTTTGGCTGGCGTTCTATACTGGCCTGAAAGTGAGCGGCAGGTTCACATAATTACCACTGACAGATAATCATAATGCTTGCCAAGAAGATGCAAACATTTTGGTATTGTATGACTGAATTCTTATACATGAGTAAAGACATGCCTAGAAAATATTTAAAACAATCTATGTATAACTAAACCACTAACATGGCTCCTTCAGAGAATGTATCCTTTAATAACAAGAACCTGGGCCACGCACGCAGGAAGCTGTCCCAAGAGACCTGCCTGGGCATGTCACTGATTCTCATAAGCAAGAATGTCTGCCTTTGTGTTAGGCTGAGGTCTGGGGCTCATCTGTGACCAGTCAGCTTGCTCTGAGCAGAAACCACAGTCCTGAGCCATTCAAGGAAACCTACTTGCAGAATATGAGAATAATCCCCCTAAAGCAAGGTGGGCTCACTCCAGTAATACAAATTAACATTAACTAGTCTACTAGCCATTAGCCAGAAAGATGAACACAGGAACACAGGAGGGAAAACTGAAATTTAATATGACTTCTGATCTTAAATATAAATATATTTTAGACCTCAATGGAAACACAAGTATGTTTCCAAACTGGCCCATAAACTTAGACTTTACAATCACGACAATACACTACATACCAAAAAATGGAGGAAATCTTTTTTGCGGAGGTCTGACAGGAGTCCAGGGCCAGAATGACTAAACTAGAATGCTAGCTGGGCCGTTCATGTAACCCAGACCCTGGCACACACAATTATGCAGAGTAATGCCTCCAGAAAAAAATAACTGGAGCAAAGTCAGAATCTCCAATTCACATGTAAAATTAGACTGGAATGCATGGCTTTCACAGGACCCAGCATCAGTGTGTGCTTAACAGAATCTCACATAGGCCTTAGGAAAGAATGCAGCCCCTGGAGAACAACGTAAGACTGGAAGTTGGTAAGAAATCCATAAGGTTGGCCTAGGGATTTAGCTCAGTGGTTCCAGCGCCTGCCTTGCAGGTGCAAGGACCTGGGTTCGATCCCCAGTACCAAAAAAAATCCATACAGTCAAGATGAAGAATATGCACACTTAGAGGAAGGATGTTCATTTGGGGACATTGGAATAGCAGAGCTTGGAGCTACTCATACCCAGATGCATACGAGCAGCAGTATCCAGGGCCTGTGTGTCCAGAGGAGAGATCTGACATTTCCCTCAGTGCTCGGGGAATTACCAACAAAGTCTCAAACATCCAACCTTCGGTGGGTGGAGGGATGGGTGGGTGGGTGGCTGGCAGACTGAGCTGGAGGATGGGCAACGACAGTACTGACAAGAAGGACACAGATGAGATTCGTTTACCTCTGCCTGCAGTCTAGGGGGCATCAACACCCAACCATGAATTATGTAAACTTTTGCTATTGCATGATTACATTCTTATAAGGGAATAAAGATATCCCTAGAAAAAGTATTTGAAACCAGCTAAATATAAACCACTAACATGGCTCCTTCAGGGTATGTATCCTTTTTAAATGAGACAAAACAATAATAAAGGATTTTCTCCTTTAAATTTTTTCTGTTAAAGAAATTGAATCAGGGCTAGGGATTTGGCTCAATGGTTCTGCTGCCTGCTTCTCAGGTACAAGGACCTGAGTTCAATCACTGGTACAGAGAGAGAGAGAGAAATTTAATCAATAATTAACCTTCCAAAAAAGATAGCTTCAGACCCAGTTGGGTTCACTGGTGAGTTCAGCCAAAAATGTAACAAAGTTATACATGTTCTCCAAACTCTCTTCCAGAGGACAGGTGCAGAGGGACTCTTCTCAACTCATCCTGTGAGGAAAGCATCACACTAACAGCACAACAGACAAGAGCACTGTAAGAGAGGAAACTACAGGTTTATATCTCCATGGACATAGATACAAAACTCTCCAACAAACTATGAGCAAATCTTGCTCATTCCGCCATGTAAACATGTACTGGAAGTATCACATCGTACCCCATAAATATAGACGATTATTTTTAGTCAAAAATAAATTTTAAAGATATTTATTAGCAAACCAAACCACCAGGGAATTAAAAATCATTCACCTTTACCAAATGGAATTTATTCCAGCTGTACAAGGCTGGGCATCTGAAGATCAGTTAATGTGATTCATCTACCAGTCATGGCAACGGTCTAAAAGTATGCCAGCCTCCACACATTCCTCCCTGCTGTCATGGCAATGCTGTTCCCCTTCCGTTCGCTTGGACTAGTGCCGTTCTGACTGCACAGACTTCCTCATCCCGTGGGGGGAAAAAAATCAGACTCTAGAAGATGATAAAAGACAGCATTCCCTTAAAACCTGTCTTGTTTCTAATGCCAGGAAACAAATTTCATCCCACAATGCTAAGTCATGGCAAAGATCCAGGAAGACACGTAAGACAGGCAAGACCACCTTCCCCAGAAGGCAGGACCTGGCAGCACTGGTCTATGGGCCAAGAGGGCTCCTTTTCTCCAAAACCTGCTCATCTGAGGCCCCATTTAGGGTGTGTCCAGGATCCAGCAATGCTTCACAACACTGCCTCCGGCTGAGTCACTGCCCAAGAAAACTCATGACATGGGCAGAGATAAGGAGCAGTGGATGTCCTGAATCAGGGAAAATCTAAGAAAATGAGGACCTTTGACTCTCAGTCCATATCCAGCACCTGCTCACCACCAGGGCTCTGATCCATGGTAAGCAGAACTGGGAAGGACTACAGTCCACCTCCAAAGTGAAGCAATCTTAGCGGAGTCTGAGACAACTTGTCCACCATGTGCTGCAGCAGTGAGGCAGATCTGGGGCAGATCTGGGCAGGGACAGACAGGCTACCAAGGGATGGGTCCCTCAGGAGACCCAGGTACTCCCTGCTCCCATCCCCCAATCCTTGGTCACCCAGGGTCACCTCAGGCCTCAGTCTCTGAGGAAAGGCATCTACAGAGAACTCCATGAGAGTAGGGCAACCTCCATCAGAATGGGAGGAGAGAGGACTGACGTCCTTGAGGGGCATCTGGCTGGTCTGCAAGAACAGTGGTCCTGTCAGGGTGTAAGGCTACTGCACAATACAGCACAGATACTGAACAGCCTGTCCCTCTGTCCTCAGCCCTATGCATCTCCTCCAAGTGTTACTGGGAAGACACCAAACAGTGCTACTGTGACCTGTTAATAACATGTCATCAAGTTAGCAAAGGCATGAACCAATGAAAGTAGGATGCTCCTTAATTTGCCAATTACTAAGTAACTTCATAAAAGCATGATGACTGCATAAATGTCAGTAGCTACATATGGCTGAGCGTGCAAGACTCAAGGACCAGTGAGTCATCTGGCTGCAGGCCCTGGGAAAAGGGGGTCCCCAATTCAGTGTTGGCGAAGGTACCTCCAGACCCTGGGAAGATACGTGCAGGCACCTGTGGTCCTTGCTTAGTCCAGGCATGGTGTCGCTACAGAGAATAAGCCATCAGAACCCCCCGATGGTCTCCCACTGTGCAGCAAGAGTGAATAAAAACCACAGGGCAGAACATAAGACTACTAGACTGGAAGGAGAGCAGGGAAATACATGGGGCAAGAGACGGAACCCAGCACGGTGCTGAGGGTGTTCTGCAATGAGCCGCAGAAACAGGGCCACAGCCAAAACCAAGGTGACTCCCCACCCCACAATCCCTGCTTCAGTACCCCTGGTGCTCCACCATCCCCACCCTAGGCAACACAGTAGGAATGGGCTGGGTTCAGCCCCTATACAGAGCCACTCTGAGTTCAGCCCACTACCAGCAATGCAGCTTAGCCAGCTCATTTCTATCCTGCAGGAGCATTGTGGCCACCCCTGCAGCCCTGGTGGACCTGAGGCCACAGCTTCCGAGCGGCTCTAGGGGTAAACTTGCTCAGTGTCACTGGGGCCACTTGTCCAGGCTACCATCTCTCATTTTTATCCAGACCAGGTAAAGAGAGTCCAGTTCTCTCAGGGGTCCCTGGAGGTGCAAAGATCAGGTTGGACACTAGAAGAAGGGCACTGATCCTGTTATTTGTTTGAGGTAAAACAAGGGAGAAGGGGGATAGTCTGTACACTGTTCTATCTGCTAAATTATGAAAATAATACTAATAACAGCATTTCTTGAGCCCACTCCTGTAGGCTTATTCTAAAACCCTGGGCACACATTATATTCACAGTTGCTCCACAAGATTACATCTTTGTAGTCCCACTTACAGAGAAAGGCACAGAGGACCAGAATGGTTACATGACTTGCCCAAGTCATGTGCTTCCAAACCCACCCAGCCTTCTCTGGGAGTAATGATGGGCTGGAAGTTCAGACTAACTCCTCCTGGACGCTGCCCCCAGAGCTGAGGCCACACACTTTTCTCTGACCTCTGCTCCCTTAGTTCAGGCCTCAAGAACAGTGTGACACCTGGTGGGTATGCTCTGAGCCCCCTGAAGGGTGCAGTGACCAAGCATTGACCCAAGCAGCCCTAGTGAGCTGCAAGTGCTCTCAAAGAGGCTTCCATGCACATCCCTCTGGCTCTCACCACTATTACTGAGTGCCCCCAGTGTGGGCACAAAACTGCCCGGGGGTGCTCTTCCCTGGCAAGGGCCACTCAGGAGAAACTAGTGTGGGAGTGGTGGCACCTGGATGCAGTGGAGACCCTGTCAGCCTCGGGACCCAGACCGCTCAAGGTCACAGGCTAGCTGGCACCAGGTGCACGTGCATAGTAGACAGAGGGTAGGGTACTGCAGATTCCTCAGAAGGCACCTGCTCCGGGTCACAGGAGCCCACTTCTTTTTTAGAAACTGCCTAGAATCTTTCAGAATCTACCTATGAGAGGAGCAGGAAACTCCCCTAGGTTAGCAGGGGAGGTGAATACCATAAGCAGCTGAACCCAAGGGCGGGGTTCCAGTGACAACGTTCCCAGTGGTACAGAGGGAATGGTGCCAGTTGACGGCCCTGCACTGCAGGTGGGCTGAGTGCCAGGGCAGGAGGGCAGCAGTCACTCCATCACCTCCCCTGCCCCATCCTAAACAGAGCCTCCTTCAAATCCTTGTTCCTCAGTGTGTAAATAAAGGGGTTCAGCACTGGCGTGACAATGGTATTGAGCACTGTGATGGCCTCGGACAGGTCCAGGGAGCTCTCCACCAAAGTCCTGACACACAGAAAGATGGTGGAACCATACCAAATGAGCACCACTGTGAGGTGGGATGAACAGATCAGCTCCACTACCCAGGTGTCAGTGCAGGACCGCACAATCCAGGGCACAATGTCACAGAAGAAGTGGTTGGTGACTCAAGAGCTGAAGAAGGAGAGGCATGTGATGAGGGTGGTAGGCACAGTGATGGCAGAGAAGCCACACATCCAGGAGCCCAGGGCAAGCCACACTGCCAGGGCAGGTGTCATGGTGCCACCATAGCATAGTGGCAGGCAAGATGGCTAGGTAGTGGGCATAGGCCATAGCAGCCAGCAGGAAGTACTCAGTGCAGCCCAACAAGAAGATAAAGTACATCTGTGCAGCACAGCCAGCCAGAGAGATGACTCCACTCTGGGAGGTGAAAGTGGCCAGGGCCTTGGGCATGCAGGCCATGGTGAACCAGATTTCCAGGAAACAGAAATTGCAGAGGAAGAAGTACATGGTATTCAATGGTGCTGGTGCCCTGACAAGGGAGATGATGGCCAGGATTCCGGCCACTGTGAGTACGTGCATGACCAGGAAGAGTAAAAAGAGCCTGACATGCAAACTGTGATGGCCTGAGAAGCCCAGCAGGATGAAAGGGCCCTGTAAGGACAGTGACTGGCAACAGCTCCAGGCCATGAAGCGCTGTTGGAACACCAAGCACCATGTGACAGAAAGGGCCGCAGGAACCAGGTACCAACCCTTCTCCACCCTCTTAGGGATCTACTCACCTTACCCTACAATCCCAGCACCCCAAGCAGGTCTGGTATCCTGTGGGAATAAGCAGATGGGCCCATAAGCCACATATGCGCTGGCTGAAATCACTCAGAGCCCAAAGCGAAGCCAGCTAGCAGTTGCTTGTTACCTGGAAGAAGAAGATGTCCTTATGCTACAGTCCTTGTCACCTGGGATATGGACACATCCTTTCTTATTCTAGAGTCCTTATCACAGGAAAGAGGGGTGCCTTACTCTAGAGTCAAGGAGACTGGAAAAAAGACAGGAACTGTCAGGTTTTTCACAAATGAAATTTTCTGCCCTGACTTTTAGCATCTTCATCCAACAAGCCAGACTGGATCCTAGTATACCTAGTAGAACATCCTTATTGTCAAGTGATCCTACTCGGGACGGAGACCTTTTAGGGGTAGAGATGGGGGGGCGGTCTTTGCAGCCTGCTGAAAAGGGAGGGAGGCAGGCCTCCTCAAAAGGAGACTTTTGAAAGACTGTGTCACTAGCTCCCCCTGCTGGCCAGATGCTGGTGGACAGGGAGGCTCAGGGCCAGGGCCCAGTAGAAACTCCAGGTGGATGAGAAGGTTGAATAGGTTCTGTCACCCAAAAGGCCCCCAGGTATCCACATCTCCCTCATCACCTTCTCAAAACAGGCTCAGTATAGAGCTTAAGAAGCAATCCATCAGATGTCCTGAAGATGGCGGAGGGAATGGCTGGGAGGGGAACCTCCCAAAGGCACCCTCCACCTACCAGGTTACGTTTACACACACACCATACACAAGCACACTCCCTCCCACTTGTACCTGGGGACCTGGAGCACCTCCCCTCTTTCTGGCTATAGAACCAGGCACATTACCCAATCAAAAGACTTGGGGTGCCTTGGTGAGGGTCCCTCCCCAGACCTACAGTGTGTCCTTAACCTATGCCGATCTACAAAAAACCTGAGATGTACCGACTCAACCCTGCTCCTCTGCAGCCCCTGAATACACTGCATCCTGCCATAGGAGGGGCAAGGTGAGCTGAGGCCAGTAACTCAGGCTCCAAGGTGGGACCACTGGAGGATCACCTTGCAAGGAGCAGCTTTCTCAACCTAACTTCATGACACCATTACCTGAGAACTAAAGGTTGAAGCATGGCCAGCATCCTGGACACACTGGCAGAGACCCCTGCAGGGCTGTACCTGTACGTGTGGCCACGACACCCCTGGACCCCACAGGTATATGTATTTCCCAGGTGGGAGTCACTCTGCTCTGTGACAGTTGTGGGTCCTGACCTGAGGGTCAGCACCTTCTTCCCTCAACTCTGAACCAGACAAGCTTGTTGTTGAGAAAAATTTTCTTGCCGGTAACAATTACACTGTGCTGGCTGAAAGGGAAGTAAAGAAATCTGCAACACCTGCTGGGCCTGGGGCTTCATAGCCCTTCAGTGCACCACCCTAGGTCTCTCCTTTCCCTGTGAGTGAGAGCCAGCCCAGCAGTTTCCTCCTAGCTCCCTCCATGATCAATATGTATGCGAAGATGGGAAATCCGCAGTATGGGTGAGGAAACCCAGATCCAGCACTCTCCCCAGTCTTTCTGTGACCACATCTTTCAGGTATCCCCTGAGGCTCAAGAGAAGATAGGCTTGAAGTCATGGAGCTGGGCCTGAGCTAGGGTGTGGTCGTTGAACCCTGTGTACACATGAGATTCAAGTGGACTTGAAGGAGATGCCCTGGATCCTGAAGGGTAGGGGACAAGCTGCAGGGGGTGAGACTTCCCTGGTCAAGGTCAGGCCAGGGCCAATCTCAGCCCCTCCTTGTGGGGTAGAATGCAGAGCCACTTACCCAGCTTCAGGTCCATGTCCCTTTGGCAACCTAGAGACCAGAAAGATCAGTCAGGTCACATACAGTCCCTCCATGCAGAGACATCCTCGGCCAGGGCATAGGGAGAAGCTTAGCCACCTTGCCTGGATGGCCCTCTGACATGCTAATGAGGGTATCCTGCGGGCTGAGCTACTTGTTTTCTGCTGCCAACCTCCTGGAGATGAGGTGAGGAGTGTCATCAGAGTCACAGGCCACTCTGCACACTCAGTATGTGGCCTAAACACTCCTGCTCCCTTGAAATACCCATGGCCGCCCGGGAAGGTACCTGACTGTCCTTTCATGTACATGGGGCTTGATTACTGCCCCTGGGCTTGTTGCCTGGGCCCCAGGTCTACAGAACTACTCTGATGAAGTGGCCCTGCTTGGGGTTACTCGGAGCAGCCAGTACTGGCACTGTCCAGGCCAGACCCCAGGATGTAGGAAGCCACAGGAAAGGAACTGGGGGTGCCTTGCTACTGCTCTATTCCTTGGGTGCCACACTCGTTTCACACTGTGGCCCCACATTTCTGCTAGCCCCCCTACTCCTCGCAGGCAGAGGCCTGGGCCTGACATCTAAATCTTGCCAGCTGTCAGCCATTGTGCTGACCAGAAACCTAGACCTGTAGCTGGTGGCACTCAGCTCCGAGCCCAGGTAGCGAGAGCACCTGCAAAGACAACTGAAGGGCTCCCCACCTTGCACCTGGCCCTCCTGCCCTCAGAAGAGGCACAGGAAGCCCTGTGCCCAACAGGTGGCACTGGGGTATTTGGGTTACTTTTGCCTCACCCTGGCCTCCCCAAGGCTCAGGCCTGTGAAGACCCTCTTGCAGTTAAGCAGCTGACAAGAGGCTGGCCCTGGAGGCTGGGAGAGGCCCCCGAGGGTGGACCTCCTGCCCTTGGCCTCACCTGACTTCTCAACTAAACCCTCCCATTTCCTGGGGTTGTGCGTGCACTTGGTTCCCATACACCAAGGGCATGCACTCCAGGAAGTGGTCAGGCTGCACACCAGATTCTGGGTGCTGTTGTCAGGTGTTCTGTGCCTCAGTTTCCTCCTCTGTAAATAGGGGTGTGACATTCCACCACCCCTGCCCTGCCCCAACAAATGGAGAGGTAAACTACAGGCTGCCCAACTCCATCACAGCCTTTCAGATAGAGTACTCGGGCAGGAGGTGGGATTACTTCTGTTTCCTGCTTGGTCCCCTAACCAGACCCACTCCTCTGAGGCAGGGACCCCCAGTCAGTGTGGACAGGAAGAAGTTGTGGCCTGGTTAGGAGCTACCATGGGCCACATATGGCTTTGGAAGAGGTTTGACTTTCTGAGCCTGTCAAGTATCACCCTGCAGGCCACCCCATGGAGCTCAGCAGGTACCTGGAGCCAGTTTGGGGCTCAGAGCCACAGCAGGGATGTGTCACATGGCAAGAACTCGGCTGCCTAGAGCTAGGGTCTTGGGAGATTATGGGAGTATGAACCCGCCCTCCCTCGGCCCTTTTCCCTTGCCAGTGCTTTGGGATGGGTTGCTGGGCAGCCTTTCTAGTGGGGTATGTGGACCCCACCAGCCACACTTAAACTGCAGGTGTCACGCTGCCTCAGGGAATGCCACCCTACACAGACCTGTAGACTGCCCTGATTGGAAGCTTATTATGGTAGAAAATATCCCCATCACCAGAGCAAGCAGGAGTGAGGCCTTGTGAGTTAGCATCCACTACAGGGGCTGCCCCTTGTCTGGGAAAATAGAGTTGCTTTCTGTTTTGTAAAAACACCTCTATTTTTCCATTTTAATAACATTATAGGAATCTTGAGGATAAAAAGAAGTAAAAGAAAAGTTTCTCAAAGCATAGTAGCTGTGAAGATTTGGCTTCTCACCTCTTTTCCATCCCTTGGATTTATTTTCCCCATGTCAACTTTCAGGGATCACTCTGCAGACATACTTCTGAGCTCTTCTCTCTTACTTAACATCACAAGCCAGAATTTCCCAAAATGTTGTAGACTCACTGCAGTTACTAAACAGTGCTCCCACCAGACAATTCTCTGGGTTGTAACTTGTGTTTCTACACATAAATGTTGACCAGAAGTTATTCCTATTTCTGATAGCTCCTTTATGATAGGGAAAGAGAGGTTCAAATGCCTAATTTCCTACTTAACTACTTAATGACTGACTTACTCCCATGGTAATGAGCCCAAGAAGCAACAAACCATCCAGGGACTGGGCAGGCCTGGCCCTGTCCCGGGGCCCTGACCAGCCCAGGAGTCTGAGCAGGACACCTTGCATTGACAACACCTGTTTCTCTATAAAATAGGAATAATGGAGTCTCTGGGAATCTCAGCCTCTGGAATGCGATGATGAACAGCAGGATGCTGAGGGATCTGTGAACATAAGGGGCTTTGTTCCTGCCACCAGCAATGATAAAGATAAATGTTCTTTGGGTACTCTGTGTGTGTGCGTGATTGCTATAAAAAATAAACACAAGAATGTACCAATAAATTCAATTTAAATAAAAATAAATAAATAAGCACATATGTGATGAAGTATGAGGCTTGTCCTGACTGCATTTAAATTTAGATACTGAGATAGCAGAAATCAGATAGCAAAATGCAGCACCAGAAGAAATGAAGATTTTTTAATTGTATTGAGAACCATATCTGTGAGCTGCATAGGCCTCCAACTCAACTTAAGACCAGCCAAGATTAAAAGCAAGCCTCCAGGCAAATGGGATCAGGCAAGACGTGATTTCTCTCAAGCCCAGAGTGTCATTGGGTGGGAGCCCTGGAGTGCAGAAGCCATAGTGAGGGCCTGTGCTGCTCCTAAAGGTCCCTGAGCAGTCTCAGGATAGGGGAAGGAGAGTATCCCAGATCCACCACCCCCAGAAACCTGTGTTCTCCAGGAAGGGATGACAGAAGCTCCTCTGGCCCAGTACAGCCAAAAGCCCAGAACACCAGGGAGAGATCATGCTCTGCAACGATGCACCCCACAGCATCAAGGGCTGCAGGGAGCCACAGGGAGCCTGAGAAGACTAAGAAAGAGCCCAAGAGGGCCCCTAGCTCAAACATACAGCAGCAGCAAATGCGTTCCCTGTGGCAAAAGTTCACATATGCAGTGGCCTGGAGCAAT